TGACAATTTCTATGCAAAACAAAGTTAAAAGAATATGGTAATTTTTTCTAATTGTTTAAATTTTATTTATTTTTTTTACTTTTTGATAATTGGAACAAATTCTGACGCAATGGTAGAAAAAATTATCACTTTAATGGACAATTTCCATAAAAAATGAAGTCAAACGGACACCAAACTTTCAACATTTTCCAGGTAAAAAATTATACCAATCAAACACAATTAATTACAATTCCCAGTAAAACAATTTCGAAACAATTCAATTCCCAATAAAATATTTTCTTTCCACCTTTGCAATCAAACGAACCCTTAATTGAATTGCAGTTTTTATCCAAACCTTGACACTTATAGTCCCAAATGTTACAATTCGTGGCAGCCAAAGGATAAATGGACATTTGACTATTAGTTTAACAAAAAAGTTGATTTTGACGATATTTTGGTCAATTTTGAAAGAATAAAATGGTAAATTTATATTTTCTCAAATAATACAATTAAAATAATTAAATAAAAAATTAGAAATCTGCACCCCAACCCCCTCTCCCATCAAAACTTCATCGGAGCTTCAATGTTGGAGGTGGAGGCGGATTCAAGATTTCGAGCGAGTTAAAGCGACCATTGACCGTTGAGCGTCAATGTTCACAATAGCAATTTCTTTAATTAGGACTTGTTTGAACCCCATTTTTTTTCAAAAAAAATACATTTTGTAATAGTGCTATGATGGAGAATGTGTAGTCAAAAAACAAGGAAAGAATTTAGGTTTTTGTGTAATATTATTTTATCGAAAATGTGTGGTTGAAATATGATCAAATTACTAATCAAAAATATATTTTGATGAGAAAAAGGAGCTCAAACAAGGGTTTAATATTCAATTAAAAAATATTAAAAAATTGTTCAATCAATTTATAAATGCATTAAAACATAAAAATCACACACACACATAAAATAATCCCATTAAAATCCAAAATTCCAAGCAAGAACTAAACAACTGGAAGTTTCTCTATTGTTATTTACCGTCTATTCTTCTTCCTAATTAATTGATACCTAAAATCATATTTGATCCATCCCATAAAAATAGTCATATTCCTTTTTTTTCAACACAAATTAAGAAATTTAGTTAATATAGTTGAAATAATAAATTTTACTATCATTTTTCCTAATATACCCTACATTAATGCAATCAATATTCAAGATAATTAAACTATTCTTGATACTAATCATTGTATAATGCAAGAATGAAGGTAATTAATATTCCAAAGTCATCCAATACAAATGAATAAATGTCATGGAAGATGAAATGACTTTTTTTAATTTATTGTTCCAATTATAATTGAATAATGGAATGGTTTATATTTTTTATAACAAAGCACATTAAATAGGGGCATATTAGGAAATTAGTATATTAACTGCACTGTCAAATAAAAAACAAGACTATAATTTAAGACAAATGAAAAAAGAAAACGTGATTGTTTTTATGGGACGGAAGGAGTATCATTTCACAAAGTTCTTGCCTGCTTGAAAGTTTTGGCCATGCCCGGTTGAGTTTAAAACCTAAAAATTTATTTTATTACTTCACAAACAAAGCGGAGGTGGAGACGAAGACGGAGATGGAAACGGGGTGCTCATGTTCTTGAAATTGTGGCTTTTGGTTCCATTTTTAATAAAGAATTGAGAATTGAAGAAGGTGTTGGATATTGTTCAAATTAACAATGAGGAGTGATTTTGAAAGTGACAGAAAATGATAACTACGAGAAAAACAAGTGGAAACAAAAGGAGAACAAAAAATGGTGAAGGCCCAATCTTGTATTGCAATTATAGTGGCCATTTGTTGAACTGGGAGGACGCCCAGCTGCCCAGTACAAAGATTTGCCCGTTGGAGTTTTAAATTTCAGTGTTGTTTTGATGGGTTTTACACACTTTTGGCTTGGTTTTTGCACTTTTTCGTTCACATGATTGTAATTCTATGTCGTTTTCATAATTGAAAACATATCTCGAACATCAAATTGATTCCCTCACATCCAAAATCTAAGATCAAATCAAGTTTTTTTTATAATTTTGTTCTTTATTTTCTTTTTCCAAGTTTTTTTGTTGCATGATCAAAACTTGGATTAAAGTTTGTTTACTCCTATAAATTATTTGCCATAAAAGTTTTCAAACACTTACTCCGGTGACTACAAATATCGTTTGAGGATAGCGATTTACATTCGTTTTCAAACAGTCCATTTTGACAATTTCTTGTTGCTGGTTTTATTTCCGTTCTTCATCAACTTTATTCAACAGAAGGTGGAGGAGGAGGTGGCACGGCTCTGGTGGAGGATGATATGAATGGCTTACTTTTGCTTCCTGTTTTGCAAATATTGTTGAAAATTGAGTTTGGTGGCAGAGGGGCGGCAGAGATGGTGATGAGCTGTGTTGAAAATTTTTGCTTTTGCTTCCATCTTCTTTCTCTCGACTTTTATTGTACAATGAAGTAATATTGTTGCTATTTCTCTGGTGGTGCCACTCCTTTTTTGATGAACTATTTCATTTTTTACCTTCGGAAACTGGGATTTCGCTATTGGTTTCTGCAGTGGTGGGGGTGAAGGAGCTAGTGGCTATCAATACTTTATTGGCAGGCCCAGCCTGGCCCAAGCCCAAGCCCAAAGCAAACTAGGTCATTACCTTAGGCATCAAGATCTGAAGGGCCTAAAAAAAATTCAATAGCCCAATAAAAGTTTTCATTTTTCTTTGAGTTGTGACATTCAATCCTTTAAAAAACAATAAAACAACAAAATTGGACTAAATAAAAGGTCCAAAGTACTTGGACACTTAACTTACATTTTTTATTTAATGAATAAAATGGACATACAATTAAACTATTACATAGTGCTATATCTTTTTTTATTCTATTTACCAAAATCTAGAAAAAAAGTCAATGCAAAAAAAAAAAAATTAAAAATTAAAAAATATTCCCTATAATATTTTGCTAAGCTTATAAAGTTTCTTTAAAAATAAGTTATTGATTTTAAAAGTGTTTATTTCATTTATATTTAAGAGTAGCCTAACAATTTATCGCATAGGGCATCATAATTTTGAGGACCGACCCTGTTTGTTGTATTTATCATCATTTCTCTGCTTTTCCAACATTTCTTTCTTTGGAACACTACGGGAAGATCTTCTGCTCTTCAAACTTGCCGCATGCGACAAGGGGAGGCAACGGAGGCAGCGGTGACTTTGGGGAATAAGATGAAGTTGTTGGGGGTGTGTGTGGGGGTGGGGTGCAGGTTTCAATTTTTTTTTTTTCGTTTTTTTTTTCATTATTATTATTATTATTTAGAAAGTGTAAATTTACCATTATTGGTAAAAAATGTCAAAGTCAATTTTTCTAATCAAATGACCGTAAAATCGTCCATTTGTTCTCCAACTACAATGAATTGAAAGATTTGGTACTATGGATACCACAAATGAAAGGTTATAATAAAAGCTGCAATTCAGTGAAAGTTTTGGGATCGCAAAGAAAGATGGAGGGGATGAACCATTGGACAAGCAATCCTCTGCTTTGTTTCCTAATACTGGAATAAATCCTTTTATTGCCAAGCAAGAAAGGTTGTCTACCTCTTACGATCTTATTTAAATCCAAATCAACTTTAATTTCATGCCTTATCACTTATATATCATAAATATTTTTCACAATTCTCTCAGTGTTCATCCATGGCTTTCACCGATGCCGAGAAGCAAAAAAGTTTCGACAAAGAAATCAACGAACTCATTTCTTCTCTCACAAATTGCGTATCGAGCATTCCGAAAAATGGAGGTGATTCAACTCAGGATGATGATGGATTCAGGATGATCACTTTGTCCGGAACCAACCTGGGAGCCAACATGCGCGGTGAGATGGACGAGAAACCTACCGGCCCTCAAGGTTGTTTTTTTCAATTTATTTTTATTTCAATCATTGTATGTGGCATGTTTTATCATTAATGAATAAAAGTAAAAAGGAACACACTTCTTTCGATGAAGCATGAAATTTGTTAAAGAAGATGAAAAATTTATTTATTTATTTATTTAATTTTAATCATCAACAGGTGTTGAACTAGGAGACACCGAAGAGTTGACTGCATATGTGAACAATAATTTTCAGGCTTCTAACAATTCAATAATGCTGGGTGGTAGTTTTAATACGAAGGATCCAGGTGTTCATTTGGACATATCGGAGTACGTGGATCACAATGCACATCACCTCAAGCGTGGGAAGAAGGGCGAAAAGGGAGGATCCGAAAGTGACCATCACAATGAACATTATTCAGACTAGCTTGAGTAAAGCATGTAGAAGTCACCAATCGATCTATGTTTGTTTCCAACTTTTGTTTGTAATTGCACTAACTTTATATTCTATATAAGAATACCCATTTTAATTGAAAACAGTAATAATAATTTCGTGGAGAACCTCTTTGCATGACCTAAAAAGAAAAAGATGTTTAGATTTCTCACCGGGTTTAGGGAAAAAAATGAGCGTAGAAATCTCCTTCGGTCTCTTATATGATGTTCTTCATGTGCAAAATCAGAATTTAAGGCGCTAAAGGTGTAAAACCAGAATTTTCTCCTTCAGGTTTGGTTATCTCTTGTCTGGCATAGATGATTCGAGTTGATAAACCAGATCCTCCACCAATCTGGTTTCGTCAAGAAACTAGATTTTCGAATATTTAGGGTTTGTTCTCTTTACCATTTGCAAGCCGTTTTCGATTTTTCAAAACAATAAAAACGCGTTTTCTTTCTTATTTTTGAAAACGTTTTTTTGAAAAAATTTACAAAGAAAATCAAAAACGACAAATTTGTCGTTTTGGGTGCTTTCAATTATAATCAAATCAAAATTTTCAAAACGAGTTTTGGGTGTTTTCAAAACAATTTTTCAAAATGTCAAAAAGAACACATTTTCAATAATCTTAAAATGAACACTCAAAACACAAAACCCAAAATGAATTCAAAACTCAAAACACAAAATTGAATTACAAAGAGAACAGCCCCTTAGTTTTGACAGAAAACTTATTACTAAATTGTAAATCTTATAATTTCAAATCTCCATCGGATGGAAAATGAGCAAACTGGATATTTAGAATTTGTTATAAGTTGATACCTAAAACAAAATCGGGGATTTGTCCCATAATTCATGGTCACACATTTAGGAGCAACTTTGTACTGTTCAAGTCAAGAGTTGATTAAGCTCGACACGATTGGATAGCCATCTACATATGTAGTCAACATATATATGGGTCCTCTTTGGAAGGGTGCTTCCGACCTCAAGCCAACAGAATACATAAAATCTAACTAATCGAGAAGGCGAAGAGCTAAGGAATATAAAAAAATAATAATGATTTTATATCTGTAGTTACTTTTCATGTTTGATGTCACCATAAGCCTCATCAAGAAATTCGTACGCCGTTCATCGCTATGTTTGTTGTCCTCTTTGGAGTATGTCGTACGCTCAAACCCCTCATTCAAAATGTCATAGCATCGTCAATATCTTTGTGTCCATGCCCATATGCATCTTCTGCATCACGAAAACCTCGTGCACACGAGATGGCATAAATTAAATTGGTTGCAACCCTAAGTGTAGAGGACCTCGCTCCACATGAATGGACACAAGAATCAACTTCATGATTTACAGGTGTTTGGTGGGGATTAAAATTGGATTTTTAGTAGATTGTGCTAGAAGTTTTTGAAATGTGTGGTTGAAAATTTGTGGGACCAATAAAGATGTAGTTAATATTGATTGTTTGACTTTGACTTGAATTAAAATCAGATTTTAATCCGGACCGAACATGAGCTTAATAATTATCGGGACTCGTATAATTTATTTCTTTCTGAATACGGTCTATATCAACTATCAATAGATATATTGACTCGCTAGAATCCAACAAAACATCGTTGGCTAATCCCGAAATGAATTGGTCTAATTGCAACTCTTTCTTGGCCCAAATCAAAAGATTATTATAAGAAAACTCTCTCTTTATCTCATCTATCCACCTCTCCTATTATTTCTCTCAACCATCCCTTTACATTCTTCATTAAAGCCTTCAATCAAAGAAAAATAAAGCCAAAGCCAGTCCCATTCCCATCCCCGCCGGAGACGCAGCCGATATCTCCCAATCTACACATAAAACCACCATATAATTAGGCCATGCACATTAACATGTCCAACAATATTAACAATACTATTCAACATTCAAGATCCCATGCCACCACCCAGGCTTGTGCCGCTTGCAAATATCAACGTAGAAAGTGCGCACCCGACTGCATTCTCGCCCCTTATTTCCCCCACGAACGCCACCGCCAATTCCTCAACGCGCACAAACTCTTCGGCGTCAGCAATATTATCAAAATTATCCGTCACCTCGACCAGCAATCAAAAGACGACGCCATGCGCACCATCATCTTTCAATCCGACGTACGCGCCTCCGACCCTGTCGGAGGATGTTACAGAATAATACGGAGTTTGGAGCGACAAATAAATGTAGCAAAAGCTGAGCTCGAAATTGTCCTCTACCACCTCGCCCTATGTCGAGCACAGGCCGCAGCTGCCCAACAACAAGCAGCATTGCGAGCCGTGGACGACACGGATTCGACGCTGAATTGTGATGTGATTAATGGGGACCCTTTGGGATCTTATGATGAATCAAATAATATTTATCATCACAATCTTCATGTTCAACCCCCACAGCAGCTGGGGCATGATCAGTATATTGATCAAGAACAGATTGCACTGCAAGAGATTAATGCATGGGGGATCAATGCACAGGAATCTACTTCTTCATCTTTCCCTATCAATCATCGGACGGTTGTAGATGAATGTGATGAAATCAGACCGATTCTTGATTTACATGATGAGAGAGAGGAGTTCAAATTTGATCCAGCAGATGAAAATGGTGAACCAAGATTTGTTACATTGGCTTAGCTAATTTCTCTTCATCATATACAGGTTTGATCATGATCCCTTTGCTGATTGATTTTCATTGTTAAACTACGACGTATAAAAGTTTATTTGTTGAACCACGACATCTAAAGGTTGTTAGAGATAAAAATCAATTTCACTTAGACATTCCAACTAAATCGACCCTATTTAACACGTTCATCATCTAGATCGACCCTTATTTACCGCCATCTTGTTCAATTAATTATAGCCAAATACAATTTACATATGATCTAATGCATATTCTTAATAGTTTTATTTTTCATCTGTATATATGAGATTTTGTTCATAATTTCGAGAAAGCGTCTCAAATCATTATTTAAAAAGAAAAAAATAATCATTATTTGGAATTTATTGCTTGATTTAAAAAAAACATGATCAAATGAATTCCCATCAAGTTCTTGTCCATAAAATGGACCAAGCCCAACTAATTTTCGGCTTATTCGATCAGAAATTAGGGTTCCTAGTTGAGAAAAAAAGCAATTTTGTGCTTGCTCAAAATGATAAAATATGGTGCAGTAAAACTACATACTGTAGATCAATGACAATTGACATTAAACTTATGCTGCAGAGAAAGAAGAGTATTCAGAAAGGGCAAAAGGCCACATTCAAGGAAGAGGATGGCTGCTTCTACCCATCCGATCAAGATCAGGATCTTTGAGGGAACAGGCTGGAAGATCATAGAAATTGTAGATAACAGATTTTGTAGAAGAGAACCTAGCTATTTATTCAATGCCCAGTATTGCTGATTTCTTTCCCATTAATAAAACATAGTGGAGAAACAGGATGAATAAGACAATTTTTTTCATATTGCAGCAGGCAAATACAACTTGTATACAATTTTTTTTATGAGAAGCTATTCAAAGGAAGAAAGGGGGTGGGAGAGAGAAAGAAAAGATAGATGCAGTTTTGTGGTTATCCAAACTCCAAAAAATTACAATTCCTAAAACCTAAATTATAGGCAGAAGTACTGGTAAAAGTAGCAATTTCCCTACCAATCAACGTGAAGAAAAATCCAGTGCTCAAAGTACAACCGAATGCTATACAGCCATAGAGACCATAAAACTATCATAGTACTAAATGGAAGACAGGATAAAAAGGACAGGATACAAACTATACATCTTCAAAGAAACGGGAGAAGTGCACAATTCCATAGCAAACTACTAGAGACGTAAAATAGTAACCTAGAATTGTATTGTCTTTTAGCAAGAAAGCCATTGAAGACTAGGTGTAAAAGATACGATTGCAACATCAATTAAAGATGATCAAACGCCGAGATCCAAAGGAAAAGTACGAGTTGACACTCATTGGCATGCTTTGCAATGCATCCGAGGCATATATACTTCTAATTGTCACAGGAAAATTCATTCAAAGTAACGCAAATATACTTTCTGTCAATGTGGCTAGTACAATGGTGATTTCAAATCTGAGCTGAGATTGCAAGTAAAAGGCAATTGACATTCAAGAGCACACCTAGCAAATAAATCAAGGCAAATGTACCAATTCTCCCAGGAAAAAATTATTCAAAGTATGCATATATAATAGCAGATAAATAAATATCAAATTATCAAAGCCAACAAATAGTGACTGCAACAATTTTGTCAAAAGGAAGACGCAATGCCACCAAAAACCAGTTATGTTTATTGCAAAATCTATGAAGTTGGTAGCATATTAACGTTTCTATTTAGTTCTTACACAGCAATTTTAATCCACAACAAGGAGTAATTAAATATCACATGAATGATAGGATTATGAATACCTCCCCAAAGAAGAAGAGACTAACCCACAGCGACACATTTAGCATGCCAGACTCGACAAGGAACAGGTGAAATATTAAAACAGAGTTTGACAAATGCAAAGTCAGTTAGATCATAGATTGGGAAACTGTAAAACAGATTATACTTGATTTCGAGTCAAAATTAGCATGCATTTGAAACAGTTTTAAAAAGACAATTATTGTGGGTGCATTTCGATTTCATGTCATTACCTTCAATAAAATCATAAAAATAAATTCATTTACATCACATATGCACTATGGTTTTGAGACACCAAATACATTTTATAAGCACGCAACTATAGAGTAAAAACAGTTTATAGTAAAACTAATTCATCCATAAAGCTATTCTGCAGTTTGTGCCTAAACTAAATCGAGCCAAACCCCAAAAATAAAGATATCGTCGAACAGTTCCTAGGGAACATAAATACGAGTATACGACTACGAGACCATGACAAATAAGAAGATTGACAGTAGATTGAGATTTCTACAAGAACAATTATACAAGAGATCAATTGTCTTGAAGTTTACCCTTCCCCAAATTTTTTGTAAATGTTTCCCTTCTCTAATCCTAAAAAGAGGTAGAAAAAAGAGATGATATTTCCACTTCATAAAAATCTTTAATGAATTCACAAAGCAGAAGCAGAAGTGTATCCTTCATTTCTTTTAAACCAAACAATGTATCAGCAACGTTCTGATCAACTAGATTTCTACTCCCAAGGATCACACAGGCAAAAGCCAAAACTAATTAGTGTATATATAAACAAGTTAACACCCCAAAATATATCATGTTCCTGAAAAGCGTCATGTTTTTGCAAGAGACCATGCTTTCAATAACAATAGTACAGCAGAAGTCTGGATTGGGGAAATAGGAGCAAGTAGAGCTTTGGAGGTTTAAATCTAACTTTTGAAGAGAAAATTTAATCACTTATCCGAGCTTATATACGTAAAATAACCTTTGGTGCAACACCTAATAAAACATGGAAATCTCAACCTAAACTAACAAACACAACTCCACCTGACAAAACTTTTGCATTATTTATCTTCTATTCCATACGTAGACCAGCCACCTATCCACCAATTCCAATTCCAACACCAAGACTAACCAGATCTTTATAGAAACAAATGTAGGATACATTACAATAGCTTTTATGGTGGCAGTATTCCCATAAAGTTCTTCAAACTGTAATTACTTTCAAATTCTGGCACTAATTGAATGCAAGAAAGGTCATGTATGGTAGTGGTACAATCATGGCAGTCATAAATAGTAAACATTACAGGCAAATCAAGATAAGCAACACAAATAGAGGCCGTGCAACATCAAAACCACTCCCACGGATAAAGAAAAAATTCTTGAAATTTCAATAAATTAACTAGCTAGCCTTCAATTATCCCATGTCAAAATGGAAAGCATTTTGTCATGGCGGCTGTTGGATAGGTGGAGCATGAAACAATCAAGTCCACACGTTTTTTTTTTTCGTGGAACATATTGTGCAGAATAAAATTTATGACAGAATATCCCAAAACCGAGAAATATATCATAAGTTGCCTGGCGGAGTGTCTGATACTGTAATGTGCAGAAACAAAACAGAAAGTAAGCTGTATAATTGCTTTTGCAAGGAACAATTTTTTTATAAGGTGCCAAGTACAGATCCCACAATTACTAATTAAAGATAAAGCTGTTCGTAAATTGATGAGTAATTGATGGACCACACTTCAAGAGAGCAACTACGACAAAATATCCTTCCTCGCTAAGGGATAAAAATAAACACCTCAGATTTCGGAATTGATAAGCTCTTCTACTGAATCTCTGTAACTTGAAATAAGATCCCTGTAATTAACAACAAATATGTACGTAGTTATCAGCAAGATAAGTCACCTTGGATTGGATGTTTATTTTGCTTCCATGAATCAATCAGGAGCACTAAATGTATTACTGCCGATTGTGGTTCTTTAAGCCCCATTATATGGGAGAACACAGGTGCAATGAGTGCACCTATTTATTTTCATCCATAGGAAATTGACATACCAAATAATAGGAACCTAAAAACTTCTATAGATCATTTAAATGAGATAAATGTTAAGCAAAGGGATATAACCTTCTTTGTTTCAGTAAGTTCTCAGTGTCCACCAATTTGTGCTTTTGCTCCTCCACTGTCTGCGACAATATTTCCCCCAAGTGGGGAAGGATCATCAGAAAATATATCATTTCTATACATTACCTCAAAGTACACAAAAATGATGAACCTCATAATTTGTTTTTTTTACTGGAATCCAAAATATAAATAGCAAATTTCATAATATTTTAGATATAGAATGCATGATAGTCGGTGGTATATTTCTGAAGCTCCTGTAATGTAAACAACTCAAACAAAAGATTACAGAGAGTTTCAACAAATATTCCCATACTTCTTTTCTACACGAGGAAGTTCCAAATAATATAAGGAAAAAAGAGTGTAATCTACCGTCGATTTTGCCTTAATTGTCCCTGCAATCGTGTTCAACAGCTGCTGGCACTTCTCAAATTGGTTGTTCAACTCGGTTACCTTTCAGAGCGACAGATAACATGCATTTATATACAGATACCAAAATAGAAGTTTCCATTTAAAGAAAGTAAATTATGATTTACAAACAAAGGAAAAAAGGTAAAGAAAAAACCAACCAATGCATCAGTTTGCTGATCCCGCGTCCCATTCTCAACAACGTCCGCCAAATTTTCTACCAACTGTACCAAAAAAACGCCGAATCAAAAACCTTTCTTTGAAAAAAAAAAATCTAAATTAGTTTTTTCAGAAAAATGAAATATGGGTTTGGGGTTATTGAATGCGTACATGCTGGAGGTGGAAGAGAGAGGCAAGTGATTGCTGTGGTTGCTGTTGCGGTGTTTGTTGTTGAGGAAAACGTTGTTGTTGTTGCTGCTGCTGCTGCTGCTGATTGAATTGTGGTTGAAATTGCTGTTGATTGAATTGCGATTGCTGTTGTTGTTGGAGGAATAGATGGTCCTGATTGGAGGGTGTAGTGGGATTACTGTGGGACTGTATGCTGGGGATCATTGTCCAGTTCCCTCCCCCGAAATGCTCCATTGCTGTCCTCTGCTCTTTCTTCTCCCTACTGTAACCGGAGAAGAAAAATATAGGTCAAAATTCCCCAATTTGTTTAAATAATCAATTTATTGGGTGCAAGACGACGTCGCAGGGTTTTGACTTTTAAGAGCACGTAAAGTGCTTATGCCAAACAATCCCCTAACATGTCCTTACTGGTATACAGTGAACCAAACACGGCGTTGAGTTAGAAACGTCGTCGTTCCATCATTTTGCATCAATTTCCTATTTTCCATTTCTTTTTAATCGCCTACCTCGATTCCAGGAAGAAAAACTGCTGAGTCTCTCTTCTTCCCTTTTTCTCTCTCTATAAGCAACTATACAGGCACGCAGATACATAATCATCAGATAGAACCAAGCGCACGAGTAGTTTGAGGTTCGATTTTATTTATTCAATTTATTAATCAAATAATTTTTTTTTTCTTGAAGCCCAATATGCAGTTTCATATGGCGATGTTGAATTATAAAGTAGTTTTTGCAAAAGAATGCGATATATTTGCTGCAAAAAAACGTATTTTATGCTGTTGAACGTGGCATCAAAAGAAGCTCCATCCCAGCGTAGACTGGAAATTATAAAGAATGGTATTTGTTTTGTGTCAGTCAGAGATGGGAGATAAATATGGAGATATTGTCTACCTCAAGCTCAGATACTAATTTACATGTCAAATCAGATATTGGAGTCCTTTTGATTATTTTTCTACGCGAATTTTAGTGCTAAATTTGCTATAGAAGCTTATGCATGGTACGATGATGTGCATTTGGTGAAACGATGCTGCATATGTTTGGTTAATGTATTAAATGTGTAGCTCTATTGTTCAAGAGGGAAATTCGCACAGGCTGTTTAGATGAACAACATTATCGCCTTTGTTAACGATTGAATGGAAATTTATACCTGTGGTTTGTGAATGTGCACTTTGGTTCCATTTTTTTTTTTTGGCAAATATGTCACAACTTTCAATTTTGTAGCAAGTAGGTACCTTTTAGCAGTTCCCATCCAGTTTAGCTGTTGAACATTGCACATGATCATATAGAAAATTAAACCTTAGATTAATTAATAAAGAATAAATAAGAAAATAAAAAATGATGTCCGTCGTCCTCGTCGTGTGCACCCCTCCTGTGTGCAACATCTGTTTCCACTCTTCGACTTTCCAGCAAATCCTTTCACTACATTAGGTGCAAGAGATAGCAGCTATGGCCATTAATCCATGCCTGTTACATGCACTGATTCTCCCTTCTTCTACTTAATTTTCCCAAATCGTCTCTCTGAAAAACTTTGAAAATTTCCCAATCACCTTCTTTAAAGTAACAATATCAAATATACCAACTCTGTACTCATTGATTCTATTTCTCTTCAATTAATTCAAACAGTAATTGGAGATGTAATATTGATACACACTCAAACCTATGGATTTGCTCATTTCATGCATGTATGTGTGTGATTGAAAAATGTGTTCAATTTCAATTTAGCCTCCAATTGGGAAGAATTTATAAACAATTTAATTTATAAATAGATAGATAAAGATGAGTGGTGGATAGTGCTGTTTCCATTTGAATGTATGATTGAAAATAAAGTTTGACCTTTTATAAAGGATTTATAAGTTTTGATGTAGTGGGTTTAAGTTTTCCCAATGCCCTTTATTGTCTTCAACTTGGCTGTTTTTTCCTGTTTCTCAATATTTTCTCTCTGAATATTTATATTTGAGAAATATGTTCCAGTTTAAGGTTGAGCTCACTAATCTGATTCACTTCTTCAAGTGAGGGTTTGGTTTCCTCAACTATATCATCTGGAAACTAATACATGAGAAAATGGCACAACTTGGCTGTTTTTTCCTGTTTCTCAATATTATCTCTCTGGATATTTATATTTGTGAAATATGTTTCAATTTAAGGGTGAGGTCACTAATATGATTCACTTCTTCAAGTGCGGGTTTGGTTTCCTCAACTACATCATCTGGAAACTAATACATGAGAAAATGGCACTAATAATAACTGGACCCTAGTGCTTCGAGGAAGGGGTTAGCCAGTTAGGGGAGGGACGTGATTGGAAGTGGATCGGGAAGAGGAGGCAGGGCAGGGGAGAAGTGAGGTGGAAGAATAAGATTTTTATTTTTTCTTTTTTGAAATTGAAGCATTTGGATAACTAAAATTTACCCAAAAATATGTTAACGTGCAGGCCACATGAGATTTGATGATATTTTTGTTAATAAGGAACCATTTGCTGATGGTTTTGGACCAGTTTGCCAAAAAGAATGGAATAGGGATCCAAGTGCATATTTACTAATAGGTTGGGACGGTAGGCGTAATTTTCTCATGGATGGAATAGCTTATTGTGATGGAGACCTCATATTCGCATTTGCGAGTTTGAATTGTACTTGTATTGGTTGAAAGTCATGTCGACATACCTTTCCTAGTTCCTCGAGATCATCTCAAATTTTGGATTTCCTAGCTTTGATTCAAGCATGCTGGGATCAGGTCTTGTATATTTTATTTACTTGAGCTAAAAAATTCTCATAATACGAAGCATAGGTTGGTTCATTTGCAGTCCTGTTTAATTGACTGGTTTAGTTAGGAGTCATATGGTTAGAGATGAACGAGAATCTTAGCTGAGAGTGGGACAAAATTTGAGGCTTCCAGTTGGCGTTCTCGTGCAAGATAAACGAGATAGTTGTAATTAATGATTAGGAGATCTACTATGTTCTTTATATATGTACAGAAATAGAACATCGTAAATAGCATTCTGTAACCTAACCCCCCTCCCCCCCCCACCAACCCCAAACAAAACAATAATCATAATGAAAATAAAAGACAGAGAGAGTACAAATGTCATCTAGCCTGAAAAATAGTGCTACCCTGTTTTATTTTTGATGGGAAATTTTTACGAGATAATAATATTAATACAATTTCACAATGCAAAACAAAGACACTAATTAACAATGTGTTCTAGATGAGTATAACTATATGGGGTTATTAAGTTCTACGGATAATTTGTTTGTTCTCATATGCATCAGTTTTGACATGATCTCATGATTTTTAGATTGCCTTACAATTAAGTAATGTTTCCCTTGTTCCCTGACCAAGGTTAAGAGCGGCATTTCTGTTCAGTTCTCTTTATTTTCTGTTGGTTTCTGTGTTCCGTTATGTATGTTTTTTACAAAATGTTGTAGTGTTTGAGAAATTGAGGCATGGTAGACCTGCTGGAAAAGTTTCATTTTGATTTCAAATGATCGGGGATTCATTCATCTTGCTGCAGGGCAACGTTGTGCTGTTGTTTTTAGCTATTGTTCAAAAAGCACAACTTCATCCTAGTCTGAAATTCTACTTTCTGTAATTTATTTTTCCATTACTGGATTTTGCCTCAATTTTTGTTATTGTCACAATCGGTTATCTCTTACGGACACAATCTAGATTAACTTATGGTGTTTGCAATATATTGCAGATTGAACATGTCGGTAAAACCAACAGTTGCATTTAGGGCTATACTCGTAGGAGGAATAGCTGCATTCGCTAAAATTGGAGGTGCGATGAAAGCTGCTGGTGGAGTGAAGCTAGGTGCTGCAGCCGCTGCTGTGACAGCTGCAGCAACTGCAGCCGCGTCGGGATCAAAACAGGAGTCGAAAGATGCTCCTATGCACTCTGCAAAATGACTTTCAGTCAACATGATAACAAATCCTTGTCAACCATGGGGAAATTTTGGACACCCTTGATTGTATGTTTTCTGCAATAAGATGTGTAACGATTTTATTTATAAAAAAAATGTGGCAGAGAAATTGGTAGCATATAGTTCATCTGGCTTCCCAGCGAAAAGGCATGTTAGCTGTGCTTCAAACTTATCGATGAAATTTGTGTTGTACCAACTTTTGATGCCAATGAAGGATGATTTTTTGTTCAAGTTAAATTGCTTCTTGTACACACTTTTGTTTGTCTTCCATTTTTCTAAAACTTTTTTTTTCTACATTTTCATTTTCAACCATACATTCACATGATAAAATATTTTACACGTAAATCCAAAATGTTTCCCTACTTTGTAACCACTTATTCTCTCAAAATTCACTATTCAAAACAATGTTTTTCCAAACAAATGGCCACGAAGTATGATGCAAAACCAATCTTGTTTGTATTTGATGAGAAATTTCTCGGTAAATTATACGAAAAGGAGCAGATATATGCCAAGAAAAACTGAGCAGTAGAAAATAATTTCTTATAGACCAAAAGAGTAAATAAAATTCTATTGCTAGATTCAATTTCAGAAGCACATACAAGCACATTTAGATAAAACAAATGCCACCTCTCTTCTATGGACACTAAAGGAAACAGAAAGTGTGAAGCACTGTAACCTAGTCAAGTTAACCACCAGAGTGCTTTCAACACAATTCATTAACTTTCTTCTTCATGCTCTGTTTCTTTACAACATAATGCACCAAGATGTACAGTCTGCTTCCGAGAACTTTCAAGCAATTTCAATAACCTCAGAATTTATGAAGTTTTGAACTCGCAAGCCCACAGGTGAAGTCCGGATGATCAACCAAGCTCACTAGAAGCTTGGGATTTGGTACTTCTAACTCAAGAATGACCTGATTGTAGACAAGGCAAGTAGCATAGATATCTCAGTAATAATTCTAACTTATAGGAAAATAATTGAAGAATCAGTATGTAATTTGGAAAATCATAGTTATATAAGAGTGGAGTCAGGAGTTAGAGATGTATTAAATGGGACAAGCAGACAGTAGATGTGGTGCAAGTTTGGCTAAGCCTAAAAAATTGGCTTATAACTAGAGAAATTAGGTTTAAAATAAATAATTTGTTTGTTGGTCAAAGTTTCAAGTAAGTTACTTATTTTTACTTATAAGTAAGAAAAAAGTAATGTATTGAAACATGTTTGCAAATAAAAAGTGACATACAAACAAATATAGTTCCTACACCTTCAATGGCGGCAAACTATAACAGATTTGAAGTGAATATATAAGCAATGAGTAACACTTTGCTTTGTTAGGGGGTATATGTCTCCACTATTTGCATGTCATAAGATTTTAAGGGGAATGTAAGAATAATTCACAAGGATCACTATCTTTAGGGGAAAAAAACACTTGTGTATGAAGGATTTTGGGATTGTCATACCAAACTATTTTCTCCTTCTTGAAGAATTGGAGCAGGAACATAGAGGTTACACTGTGGTCCGCGGGACTGCAAAAAGTGCCAAGAATAGGGTAGTTAAGTTTTACGGAGATAAAAGTTGTCAATAGATATATAACAGACAGTAATAAAAAACAAACACACTATATACCGGCCAAAATCGTCCAACATTGAATTCATTTATAAATGCAATTCCTTTGCTCCAGCCTCTGAACGATATATATGTGTCTGTTACTTTGTCAACATTGAAATGGCCAGTGTAGAAAGCTGGTTCTAGATTAAATACTGAAAAAGAAAGCAAAAAAGTATAAAAGCATGCTCTTCCAAAGCCCTTAATCATCTCATTCATTGAGCATTTGTCTCATGTAAACTTAGGGTGTGTTTGCTACAGGGTATTGAAATCTTGTTGACTAACCATACAAAATAGTCAAGTCCATACTGTGTACCAAACATACTTAAAATTTTAGTTTATCATGGCTTAATAAGGGTCTAGAACTTACTCTCTTGGTTTTTTAATTTTCGGTGGGCAGAGTCTTTAAGAACCTCCTTTTGCGCATTCAAAGCGATGGGATTGACCCTTTGCTCATTTAGATTGTGGAAAGGAATGGGAAGCATTTTCCACTTATAAAGAGGCCTTCCATCCAGATAAACAGAAGATAAAATACCCTAGGAATCGAATAACTAAACAATCACCATTTTTGTTTATCGACAGAAAGATAAAAATAAAAAGGAAATTGAAGAATAATGGGAAGAGGATGGCATATCATGGTCCGTAACAGACATTTTACGATGCCATAAAATATGAACAACGAAATAAATAGATCCTGGAATTTTACCTTCCTGTCAAATGTATACCGCCCGTAATTCAAGCGACCCATGTTTTCAACCTATTCGTGTAGAAATTGATCAACATAAATAAAAAAAGGTTGAAGACTTAAAGTAGAAGAATCAACAAAACTGAGAAAGATGAAAAAGAATTCTTGTTGGTAATGAAAACCAGTGACTTCAAAATCAAGATCTGCCAGAAGGTGTTTATAAAAAATATATATATAAATCTATCAATTAGATGGTGAAGGCTTTCCATCAGATTGAATGTTACAGTCACTTGTGAAGAACCCAATGATTTATTATATTAAAAAAAAAATCCTAAATTCCATGTGTATATATGAAAGACAACTGAATATGACGAATCCGGATTATAATGCACTTAAAGATAACGAAACTTAAGTCTTATGGTCTTGAAATGGAACATTAAACAGATATCATGTGCAAACTATCAAAACAAAAGGAACAAAAGCAAATTAACAGTTGACCGTGAATGCAAGCAAAAGCCTACTTTCTTTTCCTTTTCCATACAAGTGTTTACCTTCAAACGTTAAACTAAGCTAATGCCTAGAAACAATTAAAGCAAAATGTACAGCCCATATCATGAAGGAAGAAAAGGAGTGTGCATACCAAGATATATAATTTATTTTTGGATCCACATTTTAAATAAGGGAGGTTAATGGGTCTGTTAGACCATCTCGTAACGAGGTCAACGTATCTTGGCCTTTTTCCATTATCTTCTGCACATGAAATAAAGACTTGACCTCTATCGTGTACCTGTGGAAATGATATTTAAATACATTAATGGGACATGAAATAAAGACTTGACCTTCGTATGAACCTGCAAAAAATGATACTCGAAAGACATTAAAGTCAAATCTGCTTTTTATTTTGACGGAAGTGATATGACGAGGCACTGAGTGTATATATTTGTAATGAATAAATGGATCAGTAGAATGACAGAAAGAATTTCTTTCAGATACGGTGTAAATACTAGATGCACCGTTATTGCATATGGTAGAGAAGGGATCAGTATTGTATAATTAGAGGATATGTTCGAAAACAAATGGAAAAGAACTTGAAGGTCAAGCAGGAATGTTTATATAGTAAGCCTGTATATTTGTATGAGCGGAGCTGACCTTAGATATGAACAATGTGCTTCCATTGCCTTTTGCAGTGTACTCAGATACATACAATACAAATCCAAACATCTGAAGAACATAAAACGCATTCAAGTGCAGCAGAACTTATAGGTCATCAGTTTTGACTATCTGGGAGAATCACAACACGAGTTCTCAAGCAAAAGGAGCCTAATTATTGTATACCTGTCCAGTAGCCTCCATTGAGGTTGGGTTTTCAGATTCAACCATATCAACGAGGTTTTTAATATCAATAGTGTCATACAAAAATGCAGTTTTCTGGAGCTTAATACTCCCATAAGCTGTCCTTTTATTATTGGAAGGAACTGAAGGGAGAGGCGCTGCACTATACTTAGCAATAACTCTTCTGAGAGCTGAAAGCAGTACCATGTTAATATAGGAAAAAGAAAAACCAATGTGTTAGGTGATTAGTCTAACTTGAAAGAAAAATTACGAGAAATCGTTGCCATCATATTTTGAAGGTTAACGAGTAGGTATAGAATACTTCGCAAGTATGCATCATAATTAGATATCAGTAGATCGAAGTAACCCATTGAACTAAATACATATATAACGCACATCAACTCCGAGAATAGATCATAATGAAGTGACTTCGAAAGTGATGCATCACATTACACAACTAGCAACTGGCTCATAGACATAAGTCAAGCTCTAAAAACTGGATCAAACTACTGCTTACATGTGCATATATTTCTAGCCTAATTTCATACATTTTTGGATTTGAGGCACAAGTTCTGCTGACTATTGACTTCGAGCAATTTGTAACAGTAAAATCCTCACTCTCATTTTGAAGACATGTATGGAGAAAACAGTCCTATGGAAATTATATAGAAAAACACAAAGACACCAGCAGTTTGTGTGTACCTTTGTACTTCGCGTTGTCTACGTCACCAGATTCTCTAATAGGCGCGTCCTAGAGAAATGAGTGTCAGTTTCACAGGGAAGGTAAATTCAGCAATTTATTAGATCATTAATGTTCAGCAATAATCAACAATAAACAGGTCATGATCTTCTTACATAATCATAGGATGTAAGATCGGGCTTGTAGTCCGACTCATTTTCTCCAGAGTTTGCACCGCTATAAAATCCAAAGTTCGTTCCACCATGAGCCATCTGAAATACAAAGCATGCATTTTCCTCCATTATTGGTAACAGCCATTATCAATGAACAATGGTTAAGTTTAAAGGCCTACATAGAGCACAGCTGACCCATTCTTCGACAAAATCTTCTCCAAGAAAGTTGCTGTATGAGTTGCGTCAGTACTTGTAATATTTTCTCCCCAGTGTGTAAGCCAACCAGTATAGAATTCTCTGAAATAATGAACAAAGCAGCTATATGAGTTGCATCAGTACTCTCCATATTTTCTTCCTAGTGTGAAAGCCAATCAATATAGAATTCTATGAAATCATGAACATCATCCACATCTTCTCACAAAAAATCACAATAAAAAACTGACGTAGAAAGTGGTGGTGATTTCCCCGGTGCATTGAATTCTTTTTGCAACTTAAATATTGGCCATGGTTCATCTCCAGTAGTGAAGTCAACAGCTAGAAATGATAAGCAAAAACAAAATATCCATTAGAACACTTGGGAGAACATGCTGAGAAATTATAGGACATACTAATGTTTAGGTAACTATAAGTCCAAAGTTCCAACACAAGCTTCTCTTGCACGAGATCAAAATTTAAAAAAAAAATAATCATGTAAAGCTTGAGTATCAAAGCTTGGACTAGGAAGGAAGGATATAGTAGAAAATGCTAAATCAACTACTGTACTGACTTTTTTTGTACATCATTTATTACACAGATCAGAACTATGGATTTGCAAATCAATGACCGACCACTATGAAACAACATAAGATTGGCAATACTTGCTCCCAACAAATACAACGAATAACATTTTTAAAAAAATAAAAATGAAACTACTAAAAGTAATATAAAGTTGAACTGATAAAAATATCAGAAACCTGTATCATCGACCAATAAATTTCTTATTAGAGAATTCTACTATCAGACCTGATAAAACAGCATCTCCTAGAATTGTGCCTTTCTTAAGAGTTTCTCTTGATCCTCCATCTGTTGTATACCTAGAAATGCATGTCGTCAGTGAAAATAAGGAAGAAATAAAAGAAGTTATTCATTTACCATAACCAGATTTGAAATGATACAATTCAGCCACAGTGGCATATATTTCTTATGACTTCCAGGAATCAAACATGCTTACTGAATCAGACACTGAAAAGAAAAGATTTGATACCCATTACCTTCATATGACTACCGGGGCCAAAATGTTATAAAAATAGACCACGTCCATTGTAACAAAGAAGCACCTTTTCAACTCTTTACGTAGCCCAATAAGGAACTTACAGTATAATATCATCACCAAGGTGTCCTCGGGCCAGTTTGACCAAATAATGCAGGTAGGCTTGGTCATCTCCATATGAACCAAATTCATTTTCAACCTGTCACATTTTTATCCACTTAGAATCACATCCATTATTGGAATCTTAAGGTAGAAACGTGAAGTTAGATCGCAATGGATCATAAGATGGTCAAGTATCTTTGCCATGTCAAAATTAATTTATTTTACTATTAATATTTCTCAATTAACTTTAAGAGATTAAAAGTTTCAAGCAGCTACAGATCCAGTAAATAATTTAAACGTTGGTCTTCTAGACAGCACAATGTTTTAAATGCCATCTGGTGCCATATGCCAAACCAAAGACTTAAACAAGTAATAGTATAATCATTTTTAATGAACTTCAGAGAGGGATTCTGGTTATGACTACAAAATTTTAGTTCTTTTAGAAAACAATTACGAAGTCAAAATATATTTCAGTGGTTCAATGTACCACGGTGGAGAGTAGTTATGACTGAATCTATAACTCAAATTAAGGTATATATTGTGTGGGTAGGATTATGGACTTATGTGCACGCCAGCAGCTGAGAAGAGCCAGATTATCAGAATTTTAAGTTCGGTTTGAATTTTACAAAAAATTCTTAAACTATTTGACTTATTGCTAATGCTCTAAGTTCACGGTCGAGATGAGAAATCACTATAATCTTGGTCAATCTTCCTCAATTAGAATTAAGCCTCAAATGTATAAGTTTGACCCACCTGGACCATTATTATGGGGCCTCCATTGTTGTAAAGAAGAGGAGACACTTTTGGGAGTAGGATTCCCCACCAACTTTTAACCTGCAACAGTTCATCATCAAGGACCAGTAAATCAGGAATTAACAAATGACAAGCACAAATGGGGTAAAACGGGCATCAAATATTTAAGGTTAATGGCAACCATTTAAGAAGCACAAATACTTGTAAACTCATTATGTACTCGTATTCGATATTTTCTGATACCCTCTGTTACATATCGAGTATATGCTTTTTAATTATTTTATATTTTAAAATTTTTTATATGTATCATAAACACATTTTTTAATTATTTACCATTATTCAATATATATTGAATACGTATTTTTAATTATTTTATATTTTTTAATTATTTTCGATACGTATCCAATACTTTTTGTACTTGTGAAGAAGAGTGTTATTGATTTTAAACTCTTTTAGAACCCATTAATATTCACTATAGATTGAAAAAGTTTTTATTACCTATTGTTATTATCAAAACATATGCACGCACCCTATTTCAAGCTCATCGTTCCTTTTCATCAACAACAATAAACTAAATCTTATTCCCAATAACTTAGGGTTCCCTACATGAATCTTTTTTCGCGGCTTCGTTTACTTCATCGGTACATCTGGTTGAAGATTCATTACAATTCTTTCCCTTTTCTATCTCGCTCTAGTGGAATCGCATCACTCTTGTGAATAGGAGCTTCTTCAAGTATATGCAAGAGATGCCTCCAAACACCACTTGCTAACTGGCCTCAATAGTTGACGCCTCCACTTATTGGCGAATATTATCATTTCTTATCTTATCCATACCAATATTGCAGTAAATCCATCTTAACGTTCTCATTTCCACTATGTTCATACTATAGAGTATGGACATTAAATCCCCTTACTCAAACACTCAATACCATAACACAGTAGATCTAATAATCATTCTGCATTTTAACCTTGTGGATATCTTCCTATAACATAAAATCCATATATCGGTGCTTTATTTCATATAACTACTTTAATCTTATGCATTACATCCTCATTCTAGGGAGCTTGTTTGAGATTAACCACATAAACCTGTAAGTGCTTGTGATGTGATCCAGGTAAGGCTTCAAATGAGCAAGGAATCAAAGTGCATTGAGGAGGAGTCAAGGTCGAGCTGGGGAAGGAGTCGGGGTTCGAATCAAGCCAAAGAAGCCACGCAATCAAGTGATCAAGCCACAAGGTTCACCGGGACGAAGTTGACGAGCCAATGGACAAGTTCCATGTTGGGGTCGAGGGCCGGAACGAGCTCGAAGGCGTCAGAATCGAAGGTCGAAGCAAGGGAGCAAAATGGAGAACCATGCGGCCGCATGGTTCCCCAAGCCATGAGGCCGCATGGCTATCACCCGAAAGTTTCATGGGCAAATTGGTTTGGCATGGGCCAATTTTCTGTCGAGAGTTTTCAATTTTTATTTAGTTTTCTAGTTTGTAAAAAAAAAAAAAGTACCTTTTAGCATATTTTGGGCCCAATTTCGTGGCAAATAGGGTTTCCTTAGTTTTCATATAAGTACTTTGAATTATTTCATTGTAAAAAGACTTTTGACATTATTATGAGATTTATACAACTTTTGCAAGATTTATTCCTCCAATTTTCTTGGTGGTTTAAAGATCTAATTGAACTTATCGAAAGGAGATAGCAGTCCTTTTGTGACGTTCCCACTTCACGGTTCTTGTTCAGAGTAATCAACGGATCGGATTTCTTAGCGTAATCTCGGTTCTTGATACGGGTCGAACAACGGGTCGGATTGATCTTTGCGCGACGTGATTTCTAGCTTCCTTGGGTTAGTTCCATCTTGTTCGTGGGTTCCCAAGATCAATTCTTGTCTGTGTTCACATCCTTGTCTTCCTTGTTCTTTCTTGTATTTTTCTTGTTCTGTTGTACATTTTCATGGAGTTTATAGTATGGAAAAAAGTCAGCTATGATAACTTTATATGTCAAATCAAGCAATTAAAACCCATTTCCCTCAACAGCAGATTCCATCTGATGAAGGATGTACACTAGGAAACTTACCAAGTCAAGGAAGGCGGGGTCTGATGATCTTATTCTGATAGCAGGCTCTTTGGCTAGCAGCCAAGGAGGGAAGCCACCAAAATCCCACTCTGCAACTCCAAGAAAAGGGGGAAATGAGAAGAAAAAGAAAGGGTATATCCATCTATGAGTAACGTTGTTAAACATTTTCCATCAAATGGTATTATAAATTAGCTCACTGATATTAGACAATGGATTATTCTAATTACATGCCTAGCTATGCCACTACTACTACACACGTGATCTGAGAACAGCAATAAATTTCAATCTGAGAACAACAATATGCATATGATACAGAAGCTTGACCTTTAGCCAAATCCACCCTTCCACTCCCTCACTATGTGAAGACTTATCTGAGTAGATTTCCTTCACAAAAAATTAGCATAAAGAAAAAGCAAATAGACCCTTCTGTTAAATGTGAGAATAAGGCAATTGAAAATTCAGACTAAAATTATGCTGATTTCAACTCTAAACTTTAGGCATTTACTTGAAAGTTCTAAATAGCGAAATCCTCTTTGAATAATTCGTTAAAGGGTGGAATTCAAGTTAGCTTCTGACATTTACTGCTTCAATAACCAATTATCTCAATGAGTCAATGTGGCTAGCAAGATAAAACAGATTTGAGGGTAAGTGAAATCATTTACAGGCATAACATCCACTATATCCAACAAAAATAGGATCCATTCCTAATCACATACAACTTCAACAGATCAGAGTACTCAGAATGAATGAAGACAAACAAACACGTAGTTTTGCCATATGAATTAACCTTGGATATTATATCTAAAGGTTAGGAAGAAACCACAAGCTTGATATATCCACATATTTCTTTCTATATGAAATGAGTTCAACCTTTTTCTCGGCAGATTGAACACCAATATCGATAAAAAAAATCTAACCAGGTTGCAATCAGAGCCCTACAGGATTCCCTAGCGTTTTTTGAGGGCCTCTGATTAGACTAACTACAGCTACAAACATATATAGAAGAATGGCTGGAAAAAAAATTATTGGATCCATAGAACATATAAACATTAATTTACAGAACCCACACGAGGGTCTAAACCAAGGAGAGAGGAAAAAGAAAGAACAAAACCTCATAATACAAACATGAGAAACAACAGATTTTCATTGGAAAGAAAATGCTGATAGAGAAAGGCAAGAATGAACCCTGATCTTCTAGGAAGTATCTTAAACTGTAAAAACATTTTGCTCACTTTTTAAAATGAAGATTAAACTATATTAAAAATAATAGATAAATAAAGATGAGAACTTTTTAATGTATTCATTCCTCCAATAAGATCTCACTTCAATCCATTCCCAAATAAATATCTTCACTTTTCGAAAAAGAGCACTATGTTGTATCATCATGTCCATATTTCAGTTTCAAACAAGAAACTCAACTTCATCAATCAACTTGCCCATTGTGAAGTATATGTCTGTAAATTCAGGAGTGTTGTATATAAATTCAACAAATTAACAAATCCAGCCAGCCAGCAAGAAGCTGTGGTTCGCATATGCAAAAACTTGGACCTAATCAACCTTTTGCTTATTAAAGATTTAGAATGTTACATATGTTATTCTATTGATTTGAGGGTCAAGAACTTTGAGGAAAAGAAAATTTAAGGGAATACTATAGAACACTGTAGCTAACCTCCACATATATAAGGCCCAGCACGAAGCATAACCAGCATATCCATTTTGTGGCAGAGTCTCAGAAATGAAATTAAATCAGCAATGCCATCAAATACCAGTTGACCTTGCCTTGGTTCATGCAAGTTCCACGGAACATAAGTTTGAATGGTATTCAAGCCCAATGCCTTTGCCCTCAATAGTCTATCTTCCCAGTACTAATACCCATAATTTAAAAGTTAAAACTCTGAATTAAACTAGCATTATAAAATTAAGAAAAAGAACATGAGAGAAATCACTGGAACAAAAAGAAAAAAATGGGGGGAACAGAAAAAAGAAGCCAGGGGTTTGTTTCTTTTCCAGTTGGCTATATAAGCTTTGAATTAAGTCATTATTTTCAGAAAGTTGCTTTTGTTCTTTTGAGTCTTGCAATATATAGCCAATTGCACAAAAATAGTATCAAAGAGATAATATATACCTCAGGAAGCACCCGGAAATAATGCAAGTCGCCTCCTATTATCCTAAATGGCTCCGCATCTTTCCAAAACATGTCTTCTGCTATTTCAAATTTTCGTTCAAATCCCTGTTCGTGTTATACATAAAACAAACCCGCTACTTGTATTATCTTAAGTGTAAAAGTTATATGAAAATGAACACAACTAGACAGCTCAAATTCAAAACCATTTTACCCTTCAACACAAAACAGTTTTGCACCAATTACACTCATATAATGTAGGTGATTCTAGTATAACATCTCAAACCATTCAACTGCAAGTGGCTGTTTGACTTGTTCATTTATTGTTACAAGCACTGGGAAGAACTCTCCTTTGAAACCAGCTTACTAAGTAATTGGTACACTGATTGTTTCGTACATTGGCTCGTTCAGTGAATGTTGCAAGTGTTAGAACACTTTTCACCAATTTGGCACTTCATCTGTGCCCATCTGAATTAATTATTTCTTTCACATATTATATTTATTGTATAAATATCTAACATCAAGCACTTGAGTAGAACTCACCTTTAAAACCAGCTCACTAAGTGATCAAGGTGATTGTTTCGTACGTAGATACAATTGAACAGATCACATAAAACTGGCTTTTCACTTACAATATGAACTCAAACAAACAGTCTATTGCAGAATTCTTCCCAGTTCAATTAAATCCAAAACCCTCTCTTTATTTCAGTAAAATCTTGAACTCTTAAGTCACGTCTCCATTAAATAAGCAAAATAAAAAGAATTGCTTTAACTTTTCGTTTCTTCGAAAACAAAGACAATAAGAGGGTCTGATAACTTACTTTATTAAGATGGGATTGAGAAGGGCGATGGGAGAGTGAAGGCAGAGGAGCAAAAGCACCCAAAACAACGAGAGAAATCAAGAATATGAATATTGCCATTGCAGTAGTTTTTCTTAGGATACCCTTTTTTGCCATTCTTGTGCATATGATCGATGCCGGTGGTAACTGAAATGGGTTTGCTATTTTTCCAAGCCCAGATAATGAGTCACCTACATTTGGTGGTTGTCGAAGTCAACGCTGTCATTATTCATCTTGATCTCATGAGATTATAGAATAATGACGTTCAGGTTTTGTGGTGCGATTGGATTCGATTCCAAGATGGAATCGAGTACTTGATAAATTAATCAATAGAAGCACTACACGGACAGAAATTATTTTAGAGAATTTATACAGTACTTAGAATTTTTCTACGGGAAGGGGGAGCTGTAATTCTGTAAACAATTTTCTGTATAATTCGAATTTTTCGTTAATCAAAGAATCATTTTTTACTTTTTTTTATTGAGCTGGGTCTCATATTTTACAGAATTTATACAGTACTTAGAATTTTTCATTAATAAAAAATCACGCTTCATGTACAAAAAGGGAGTGCTATCAAATAATCATTTTTTACTTTTTTTATTGAGGTGGGTCATGCGCGAGGACCCACCTCATGTGAGAAGGTGTAGGGGCTGTACATTTGGCTATACTCTTAATCAAATGGTGTGAGATCCACCTCATGTAAGAGAGTTTAGGGGCTCTACATTAGGCTTTACTCTTAAATCTTAATCAAATGGTTCCATCAATAGTGATGGAATTGGATTGTAGTGTAGAATTGATCAGTTTTTGTGCGTTTCGAAAAGAAATTTCGAAGTGTGAGATGTTATTTAAATTTTCTTATTTTGCACTCGAATTCTCATTTTCAGAAAATCGAATCAGTTTAAATTTTATGTGGAACTGAATAATTTAGGGCTTGTTTGAGCCTCTTTTTTTCAAAAAATACATTTTGTAATAGTGTTACGATAGAAAATGTGTGGTTAAAATATAAGGAAACGTTTTTAATTTGCGTGTAATATTATTTTATTGAAAAATGTGTGATTGAAATGTGGTTAAATTACTATTTAAGAATACATTTTGATGGAAAAACGAGGTTCAAACAATGGCGATCTAGTTCTGATCCAATTTGTATGATTATGGATAAAAATATCCATTTTATTGCAATATATGGCTTTTTAGCATTGAGATTTGACCCAAAATTTAAGTACCCTAATATGACGAAGACTGTAAATTAGGGTTTGAGTAAACTGAAAGATATGTAGTGACAGACGTATATAATTTTTCTTTGTGAGTATACTAAAAAAAAAACCCCTAAGACAAGTGATACATTAGGGATAACAATAGAATGGGACAGGGATGAGGTAGCCCTTCCTATCCTCTGCCCAGTTGGCATTTTCAGTAGATAAAGTGAGACGAGATTAAAATATCTCTATTTCATTTGTTTATTAATTTATTTGTTTTTATTTACATGTGATTAAAAAAGTACAACAACCCTATTATAAACCTTAAGTCATGATGCATGTACATCATCTTTAACATAGTGCTACATGACAAAACATTATTGGACACTTAAAAAAAAAAATTTCCCACCCATAATTTTCGAAAAACAAAGTTAATGCAAAGAAAGGAGTTTACATTTAGCATTATTGATAAACCTTTGGGCATGATGAATAACATGTATGCGTTTGTACATGTAGGTACACAATTAGATTAATGACTTGTTAAATTTGCCTTTAGTTGATTATAATAAGATGAAATTACATGAACACAAACATTTGGAGATCTCAATTCATAAATCATAGGCCATGTTTACTAATTCAAAAGTCAGAGATTTTTTAATTAATATATATATAAACTAAATATAACAATTCAAAAATTAATTAATCTACTTTACACGATTTCAATCCCAAATCCTAATTATCTCTCTCCCTTCTTTTTTTTCTCTAGACCTCTTACCTCGATATTCTCTCTTTTCTCACCCTCTTTCTATCCTCTCATCGGCAATGAGGGGCAGCACACGACACAAGATCTTTGGAAAGGATTGGGCACATCGGTGTTGTGCGGTGCAGCTGAAGATGTCGCTAAACCCAGACAGCAGCACGGCACGGATCGGCTATAGATCAGGGGTCCTTTCCTCCATTTTTTTCTCTAGTCACGGGTGATTGTGTTTTTGGAGTAGGTTGAGGTTGTCGGTTGTTGGGTGGTGTTGGAGTGGGTAGTTGTGGTTGTGTGAGCAATTTTTGATGTGAGTGAGATTCTGATGGGTGCAAGTGGTGAAGTGGTAGTGATGAAGAGTAGGATTTTGACGAGATTGAGGACAAAGTAGATAGTTAGGTTGCGGAAGAGCTCGTTTTCGAGGATCGACAGATTGAGAACAACCTGCAAATCTGGTATTCGATTCTTTCGATCTCATCTCGCCTGGGATGTGACATCGAAGTGGTGGTGGTGGGTTATCCTATGGTTGTGGATTGAGATATAGTTGGTGGTGCAATGCTGGTGTAGGTGGTGTTTATGGTACATGTTGGATTGTGGTGCAAGCAACGTTGATGGTGGTGCATTGTAAGTGGTGAAGGCGATGGTGTATTGTAAGTTGTGGTTGTGATGGTATGCTATGGTATGGTGCGGTGCAATGGCGATGATGGTGTTATGGTTGTGGCAGCAGCGGTAGAGTGGGACTATATATATATGATCAATTATTTCGGCGTTGTAACCAATTATTTGATTAATTTATGACCAATAAATAATATGTCATGTGTAAAATTTTTTATTTGTGATCGAAAATAATTTGTGACCAATAAATAATCTGCGACCTACAAATTTGTTAAATTGTGATAATTTGAAACTTAGAAATAATTTGTGAACAATTAATTTGATATTTTTGTGACCATGAAATAAGTTGTAACTTATAAAATTTGTGATTTATGACTAATAAATAATATGTAACTTATTAATTTGATAAATTTGTGAAATAAGTTGCAGCCTATAAAATTTGTGATTTGTGGCCGAGAAATAAATTAACCTATAATTTTTTTTTTTTTTGTGAACGATAAATAATTTGTGATCTATAATTTTTTTGAATTGTAACCAAATTACATGAAATGTGACCTTAATATATTTAATTAATAAAATATATATTTAATTAATTATTTCATAAATAAAATTTAAAAATATTTGAATTTTTAAGTTTTAAATCTTGTTTCTTAATTTTAGAGATGGCAAAAAAAAAAACTCGTTCAACTCAATAATTCCCGTGGGACCACGCCCCGAATGGGACGAGGATTACCCGTCTAACCGGGTAAGTGGTACGGGGACATGGTGAGGGTCATTACCCTCAAAGCGGGTATGGGACGTATGGAAAATATAGTCCTCACCCATTACCTACTCCGTTTAAAGTTAATTTCAAATTTAAGTATTTTATTGAACAAAAATAATAAATTTATCATCATTTTTAAAGAGAACATAAGTTGTTTTTAACAAAATAGTAAAAAATATATATATTTACTAACTAAAAACATAAAAAATAAAAAGAAAAAAATGGGGTGATAAATGAGGCAGGGGACCTGCCCCGCCCCGTCCTGTTTTAACAGGGTATGAGCTGGGGTAAGGTAACAAAAATATCCGACGTGACGGGGGTGGGAATGACCGACCCATCTCATACCCGTCATGTTGCCATCCCTACTTAATTTTGAAATGAATAAACAAGTAAATGTTTGCAGAAAATGAGAATATTTGGATCTTCTTTCTGTCTCTTGAAAATTTCCATACAAAGGAGCAAGAGAGGGCAGAGTTGCCCATCCCCTACCCTCACTCCCGTTAGCATCCCTAATAAGTGAGAACATGTTCGACTAAAGTAAGACAAATTTACATCTATGTAATTTTTTTTTAAAAAAGTATTTAAAATTGTTATATTTTTTTATTAATTTTAATTATGAATTGTATTTAAAGCCCCTGTTTAGTTTAAATAAAAATTAGAATTTTAATAGATTTTGATAAGAATCGATAGAATGTATAATTGAAAAGTTACGAGTCTCATAAAATATGTAATTAAAATTAATTGTTAATTTTAACTTATATTTTAATTCAAATTTTTAGCTGAATCAAACAGACACAAAATAAGTAATTTTATTTATAAGGAAATTACAGTCACACTTATTTATTAACTTCGAATTTCAACAATTAAATACAGAGATTCTTCCTTTTAAAAATCAAGTACATCCAACCCTCCCCATTCACACGTCCACACCCACACTAAAAAATTTGTGAACATCTCTCTCTCTCTCTCTCTCTCTCTCTCTCGAGGTTCAACAAGTAGCCTACTCTCTCTCTTCCCCTGCTCCTTACCTCTATCTACTATCTGTCCAACACCACAACCAACTCCAACCATCGGCACCGTCATCGGAAACCAACTAACCGACTATAACCCACCCCAATTAATTCAACTGCACGTATAATTTTTTCAATCATGCTACATGTACATTTTATTTGACATTATTTTTGACATTATGCCACGTATCGGCTAATCGGCACATCATTAGACAATTTTAAAAAAAACACACACTTTCCTGCACAACATTTTTTGAATTCCTGCACAATGTCAACAAAAGTGTACACTATGGAATAGACACTTATCATAATTCTAATTTCCTCCCCCATTTCATAGATGAATGCCCAATGCATCTCAACCATTGTTTGTCAGTCTGTCACTCGTCGACACCGCTATTGTCACTACTCTCACCACAACCACTAGGATACATACCAAATTGTCGACGGTCTATGGTAGGGATGGGTTTTCCTAGTTTGTTTGTGGGGTGGGTGTTGGGGAAGAAGATTTTAATCTTTAATTTGACAAATATAAAATTACTATTTCCCCTATTTAAAATTGCTAAAAATGTAGTCAAATTTAATTTCCTTTGTCAACTGATGGGGGGCTGGATGATTTTCATCCATTCAGGCTCGGTCGCACTAATTTGAAAGGCTTGGGACCACGGGTGCAACAAATGAAAAGTTATGGTATACCTTTCAATGGTTTGAAAGATTTGAGGGTGCAACTACAAATTTCCCTAAAACAATAATCTTTACCTGACATTACTTCAAACATAGTTTCCCGACATACACTGACTTGAGATGAAGAATGGCAAAGATTCTTTGCTTCACTACTTTTTTCCATCCCTTTGGTCAAAACAATACGCGCATGGCTGCCTAACTCACCTATGCAAATACATGCACAATCATTGATGCATGTAGACTTTATTACACCTATTTGATGCACATGATTCTCTCATCCTACACAGTGATTTGATTAAAAATATGTTGTTAAAAAATAAGAAAAAAATTTTGAATTTACGTATAATATAAAGGTTGAACCCCAATTTTGAGGACCCCCACCGCCCCACCCTTAGAGCATTGTGGATGAGGTAAATCGCGTAATATGACTCAGTAGGCCAGGATACAAGAGTCGGCATACTGGTGCCCACAAAGAGTCCAATTTCATACCTTGTAAGAGACAGAAATCAAACTCTTACACTGCTGTTATCAACTCAACTGAGACTACCTTACTTCTGTCCTTTACACCACTAAGCTATATCCCTGGGGGATGAATTTACATATAACATTATTTTATTGAAGAATGTGTTGTTAAAAATAAAAAAGTGAAAAATGTATTTTTGGAAGAATGTGTATCAAACATGATGTTAATTTCTTTTTTACGAGGACTTCGATAATGGGATATGACAAAAATGTTATTTCTATCGTGCCGATACACAAAAAAAATTCCCTGCAATTTTTTTTTTTTTTTTTGTTTTAAATGTCATGGACTTGGACTCGGACTTGTCTTCCTCCATCCGCCCCTGACTTCGACTTAGGTATTGACGAGATCAAAATACTAAATTATTAACGTCATTTGAAAAAGCATGTAAAGTTTTTGAAGGGTAAAAAGCATTAGTAAAGTGAATTTCTATCGAAACATTGACTTGACAAGATATTAGTTTTAAATTATTTATCACTATTTATATTTTAGATATGACAAAATGTTGAGTTACTCAATCATTACTTGAAAGACGATTTGAAGCTTTTAAAGTGTAAATATTTCTTTATAAAACAAAATTAAAGTTTTAAATTATATATCATAGACCAATAATTTTTATCAATTTTTCAACCACGCATTTAAAGAGTTATAGTATTTGCCATATCATGTCCGATCGATGACCCCTAGCATTCTTAGTTCATGAAGCTATGCTTTTGGACGTTCCATGTAACGTCCACAACCTTTTATCAATTTTTTTGTTTTTATTGCTTTTCAAGTAGGCTTTAGGGTCCGATTTGCATGATTTTTGGTTTTGGTCCTGATTTTACTTTTGCTTGTGATCCCTGTAAAAGAGTTTTTAGAAGAAGTTATCTTAATTTTTTGTTAGAAAAACTAAATTTTAAAAGAGCTTTCTATTTCGAAAGTGTTTTTAGAAGAAGTCACATTTGGCCCCTGTTTGACACCCATTTTTGTCATTCTATTTCTCTTTCTTCATTTCAACCACACATTCTATTAATAAAATAATATTATACATAAACCCAAAAATTTTCCTTACTTTTTAACCACATAATCTTCCATCAATCACTACTCCAAATATTATTTTTCAAACAAAATGGGTATCAAACATGGGCTTGATCACTTTCTCTAAAAAAAATTTCTAAAAAACACTTTTATAAAATTACCCAAACGAAAATAACTTTTGAGTTTCAAAAGCTCATTTCGACTTTTCAAAAATCATGTCAAATATCCCTTAATCTATTTTATAGGGAAACTTCTACAAAGTTTCGTTATGCCTAGTTAACATTTACCACCTGCGCATGTAATATTCGAGTCCACTAAATTAATTCGGGATGGATCGTGTCACTAGAAGGGTTGGACTGCCGGACCATTTTGACACTTGTTACATGATATATATACATGTATAAATAAATAATATCAAGGATTGATTTATACAAGAATTATGAAGAATAATGTTATTTGTACAATGATGGGTTACAATCTCTCATAAGGAAGGTGTGAACCACTATTATTTTAATCGCAGGGTCCACCTCCCTTGTGAGAGGTTGTAACCCAATGTTATAACAACATATAGTATTGTTCAATTATGAAAAGGACAGGGTTGATCCATCCTCGGGGAGTGAATCCCACTTGCACCCACACCAGGTCAGGTGTCAAACAGCATCTCTTCTTTTTGTATTGCAAATGAACAGCACATATCATATACCATGTTAATGTTTACATTTCCACCCTTTTTCAGGATTTTGTCCGTTCAAGAATCCTATGCTTTTGTTTCTATATCCACATCATACTCGATACACCCTAGTAAGTAAAATCAGTTTTCAACGATGAAAACCTTTCAAATCACTATTAAATTGTTACTTCATCTCAAAGGGTTAAATTTTTTGAGTTGTTCTGCATGTACATGATGGGAGTTAATTTTTTTTTCTTTTTATTATTGAGTGGGTCTCGTGAGCTGTCAGTGGGGGTTCACAAGCAGAACAACTCCAATTTTTCAGAGTTTGGTTATACCTTTTAACTTGGGCTAGTGAGCAGAAATTTGAAGTGGTGGATGACTATTGAATGAAAACCGAGAGTTACATGACTATTGAATGAAAACCGAGACTGTTATTTTAGACTGATCATTACACGTTACGGATCAAGTACCATCTCGCGGATTTTAAAGAACAATGAGTTAGAAACTGATAATGAAATTTCTCATCAAAGCTTAGTCATATTAACAAGAACGAGTCACATTTCACATCGTGCATGTCGATGTGAACCAATACACTCATTTCTACGTCAAATAATTTTCGATTCCCACTTGATATTATAGTGTACGTAAATCGTAGATGCCCACATAAGACAAAGTTGATAATGTCATAAGATAAAATAACTCATATTTCTATAAAAGCATTTATTTCCACCATAAATGCAATAAATTGAAGTGACATAAATAAAAAAAATTCCCTGCCATTTATAATTTTTGCTCAGTGATTGAAGACTTCAATAAAGGGACTTTTGTTATCAGTCTTTACACATGCAACTGTAAATACACAATTTTATTAATTCTTGAAGTAGACTTGGAATGGATCGATTCTCTTTGCACAGCATACTATGTAGACTTTCCAATTTCATGCAATCAATATAGAAAAGAGTGCAAATAAAGACACAACATATGGGTGTGGTCCAAGCATTAGTTAATGCAATTATTAGCTTAAGTCACTCCAAAAAACAAAAAATGAATTTCATACAAAATGAGTAGGAGTCCCCTTTTGTTTCTCTCTTATTAGTAAAAGATTAATCAAGAAATACATCCATTTAGTAAAAAAAAAAAGAACCACAACATAAAGCATTTATAAGGTATATCAGGGTTTCAAGATTTTTTAACTGTCCTAACCTTGCCAGGATTTCGGGTTTTCATATTCGTTGCGATCTTCATAAGAAGTGTCGATGCAGTTATGATCAAGGCCAGTAATACTCAAAATGCCACTATGAGAAATAGGCTTTAATCCCAAGAAATCCCTTGTAGTTCCATCAATTTCACCACTTTCATTTGTGCTAAACTGATGATGGGCTGCATGAAAATTTTCATCTTTCTTTAAGGAATTGAAGATCCCACCAAATGCATCTTCAAAAGTTGACCCTTCAAATCCAGGATTGTTCATCGTCGTATCATGAAGCAAAGAAGGTCCACTTGTACTACTATCACCTGCTGGTGGTGCACCTCTGTCTGTACAACCTTTCAATGCAGCTTTATTCCCATATAAAGCTAAGCTATTGATGAACCCACTGACCATTTTTTCACGTGAGGACAAGTTTAGACCAAAACCAGTTGTTGTACTGTAAGCAGAATCAGTTGCAAACATGTGATCTTGGTGGGGTCTAATAGGCATGGCTGCTGGTGACGGACATGGGCTAGTTTTTGCACCCATTTGTACAGCTCTCTGTAGCAATGAAGTGGCTGAAACGTGAGGAGAGGCTGCTGGGTTGTAGGGTGGTAGAGTGGGGGGTCCATGGCCACTACTAGGGTTAGGGTTTTGATTCTGAGAAAATTCTTGATCGTATTGAGAAAATGCTTGATCTAATCTAGCGTTGAAGATTGATGGGGTGAGGTCAATGAGTGGTGGGCCAGAGCCAGAAGTGGGACCAGGTCCGTGTGGTGCTTGTGGACAAGAAGCTAGCCATAGTGGAATCTCAGGCCTTGAACTGAAAATTTGTTGCTCTTTTTTTATTGGGTACGGGAAATTATGAGCATTGAATTGAGGTGAAACTTGAAGGTTCATATGGGATGTTGAGAAATTTGCTTGAGATGTGATGATTTGGATGTTGTTACCAGTTATTGTTTTTGCACTCTCTTCTGTTAAAGCATCACAAAAGGCCCTGTGTGTGATAAAACTGTCCCTCCTGGAAAAATAAAATAAAATAATTGCATAAGAAGACAGAAGTCAAGAAATAAACCAAAACTTGCTTAACAGCATCATTAAAATTTTGTCAAGTCTTATGAAATGAATCCTAATAAACGAGTTGAATATTGGATACAAGGCTTAATCAACACACACATATGGAAGCGGATTACCTATTCTCAGTTCGAAATTTCAATACTTCCTATACAATTGGTTCCCAAAAAAGATGATTTCAAGAAAATCAAGAATGAACCTTCTGATATTTTCTGCTTAGTATATTGATGGACTAAAACTGAATACATTTTTTCACCCCACCCCAATCTACCCCCGCCCCCCCGCACCCCAACCGCCCTCTTGCTAGAATGAAGTGATTTAACTTGTACCTTGAGAAAAGGGTTCCACAGTCACATCTGTACTCCCTAGTGCCACAGGTTTTGGAGTGGGCTTTCCAATCAGATCGAACTGCATATTTCTTTGAACATTTCTCACATTTCCATTTCTTCTCCCCATGTTTTCTACAAAAATGCTTCTTTATCCCTGTCAAATCCCCCAGTGCCCTTGATGGATCATGGTGTACACATGTAGTTTCTGGGCAAACATATACTTTTTTCCTCACTTCCTTGCTTGTTCTTTGCTTCAGTTTCCATGGCAAATTATGCCCTCTTCTATGAAGTTGAAGATTCTGTTCTCTTTGAAACCCTTTGTTGCAAATTTCACACACAAATCTGTTGGTTGCCATGAGAGTTCTTGGTGATAAAGCTATGACTTCTGCACCAGGATCTAGTCCAAAACCACCAAGATTTTTAACTTTTCCCAAAAAAAAGTTACTCATCGATAAAACAATCAATTAAACTAACCTGGATTGCCTGGTTGATTCCTCTTTTTCTTCACTGGTTGAGGCTGAGACTGAGACTGACCAGTTGTAGGAGGAAAATACTGAGGTGGGTACATGATACCATTATCATTTCTGTTAGTCGAAGAAGAAACGCTGGCTTCACCCGAGGCTGAAGTCAAATTCGACCTGTTTTCGTCAACAAGAGGATGTGATTGTTGGATTGTTAAACCTTTCATCATCTCACACTGCAAGCAAACATCAGCAAAAGGGTAAACATCTAGGTGGATGAGGCCTCAGATCTTAACTTTTTGTTGAAAATAAAGACAGAATATTTGAGTTTAAAGACAAAACTACACACCTAGAAAAATGCTAAAGTTTGTTAAAACTGGACAAAATGAGGTAAATAAGCACTTATTTTTGCTTCTTGATTATGGCTTCTTCTTCTTCTTCCCTCTTTGGCATCACCCCAGGAGACAATACAACTTTTTTTTTTTCCTTCAAAAAACCGAACCCACTATTTTTCCTTCATGATTCGATGGTTTTTCACTTTTTCTGGCCAAAAAACTTTGAAAAATCAGTACTTACGAACATGCATATAACAACAAATACACACAACCTCTTCTTTAGAGTGTGTATGTGAGAGATAGATAGATGTAGATGTAGATGTAGATATAGATATAGAGAGAGAAAGAGCTCTATGTGGATGAGAAGAACGCCCTGTATAATCTAATCCTCCACCCTTTACAAAAAAGAAAAAAATAATAATAAAAATAAATAAATAAAATTATAACCCAACCCTACTACTACTGCAAACTCTGACGTGCACTTTCTGTCTTTTGTTTTCTTCTCACGACCCCAGAAAAGTCTGATATTTCTTTATTGTAAAATTTAACTTAACTTTATTAAAAGTTTTAATTTTTTTTTTTGTTCCACTACACGCCATCTAATAAAGTAATTCAAGATAGCAACCATTTACAAAAGAGAACTCAATTTGAACATAAAGAAAGTGAAATTGATATTGAATTATTTCCCAGTAAACTAGTCTCTTTCCAGTAGACCCCTTTATCAACTTTCTAAAATTTTACAGTCTGCATGATTGAGTCATTGATTAAGAATGAATATAATTAAAAAGTTACTTATAAAATTTTTTTGTTTCCCTTTTCATTTCATCATCAGTAAAACTTATTTTATCAGCAGAAATTTCAGACATTCATGTAGATTATACAACATCAAAGAAAACTAGCCTGCCTATTCCTAAAAGAAACAAGTCAAGTCCATATCTTTTCAGTTGTTTCGACAATCGGGAGATTACTCGTTGTGTTATTGAAGATCAAATAATATAATCGTAATTTTCTTCTTGCTTTTCCTTAAGGATTAGAAAAGACTAGGATGAGTGATGATCGACCATTATTATAATAATGGAAAATATATTATGGAAGAACATGTTTTTTGTCAAGGTTGATGTGTGTTCTTTTGAGTTGTCAAAGTTAACTTTTGAATTGGAGAATTTGATTTTTGATATGATATGTCATCAAAACAACAAATTTCTAAATTAGTACAAAGTTATGGGCAGTCCACAAATTACTTAGTTTTCATCATAGCAAATATCACACTATAGATTCTTGTTAGAAAAGGGTAGAAAAATCGCATGTCCCTATTTGGCTTAGCCTTAGTTAGAGAATAAGATAAAAATATTAGTCAAAATTAACAATTAATTTTAATCATACATTTCGTAAGATTTACAACTTTCTTCAATTTTTAAATCATACATTTTATAACTTTTAATCTTTTATCGAAATCTGATAAAAAATCGACTTTTATCAAAACCAAACATGACCTATATATGTTGTATACGCCTTAAAATTGAGTTTCAAGGGAAAGAAAAAAAGACGATGAATAAGCATACTTTACGTAATTCAACACTTAATTAGCTTAGGTTAACACGTGGAGACAAGAAATTTTACTAATCGCCGAAGAAAGAATTCAAAAATTATTTAGGATCCATTTGATTGGCAAATGTAGAAAGACTTTTCAATTTTATATAAGTTGGAAAATAAAAACTCAAATATCTCATTGGAATGTATTTTCCATGAAATTGACAAAAAAAAAAAAATTTAAAGTGGTTGTACTTTGAAATTCTAACTCCATTTTCACCTTTGTATCAAACGGTCAAAGTGGAAATTAAATTTCTCGGATGTGATATTTTCCATGGAATTTAAACCAATCAAACGTACCCTTAGTGGTTAATGATAGTGGATTTTGAGTACTTCAAAAATATTTGTACTAAGCAAGACTAAGGGTCCGTTTGATAGCTAGGGTGGAAAATTGGTGAAAAGAAAATGAATTTTAGGGAAATTAATTGTCTAAAACTTGTTTTCTAGGGAATTGGTAATTAAGTGTGTTTGATTGGTATAATTTTCCACCCTGGAAAATTTTGAAATTTTGAATTTTTTTTTGTTCACGTTTGGCTTTATTTTAAATGGAAATTGTTCATCAAATTGATTTTTTTTTTTTTACACAATTGGTTGTGAAATTTGTTACCATTATCAAAAAGTAAAAAAAAAAAATTTTTTTTGCTCGAAAACTATTTTTCACCATTTTTTCATCAAAGTTTAATGTTCGTTTGGTTTCGTTTTACATGGAAATTGTCCATTAAAATGAATTTTTTTTTTACAATTGGTTATGAAATTTGTTTTCATTGCTAAAAAAAAATTCCAACAAAACCTGGAATTCCTTTTCTCACCAAAATGGTGGGAAAAGGATTTCCCACAAATTAAGGAAAATGGGCGCGGTAAATTGTTCATTAAAATGAATTTTTTTTTTACAATTGGTTATGAAATTTGTTTTCATTGCTAAAAAAAATAAAAAAAATTTTTTTTTGGCCAGAATCTGGAATTTCTTTTCCTACCCTTAAATCCTTGAATTTGGGCGCGTGGGTGGGGAATCAAGAAAACATTTCTAGGAAATATTTAGGCCATCAAACATGGCTTTTGGGTGAAAAAGGAATTACATTTCCATTTTCCATGGGATTAAACCCCTATCAAATGGGCCTAAGTAAACTGAGCTCCCGTTTGGCATCCGTTTTTTTTCTATTTTTTGAACAGGATATTGAGTTTTGTGTGGACCCCAATGTCCTTCAACTGAGTACAATATATGACAGCTGTGCATGGCACGTTTTTGAACGACATGCTGGTACCATGTTTTTACAGAAATTTCGAAAATGCCCTTCCATTTGTAAAATGATATTTGAGGGGGTGCTGTTCACAATTAATTGGATTGGAGGGCAAAATAGGTAGTTTCCTTGCAACGGTCAAGTGGCAAGACTTTGGTGTCTGACAAACTGTGTTCTGGTTTGATTTTTTTAATACAAATACACTGTAGAAACTCAATTTCCTATTCAAAAATTAGAAAAAAAGGGATGCCAAACGGGGCCTAAATATTTTACTAAATCAAAATGATAGTTCCATGGACTATAAGACTTTAAATTGAGATGAATTATAAAGTACGTAAGTATTCAAATATATAATTGAATAGTATTAGACCGTAATGAATACTATGTACAATAGGCATTAAAGGCGTGTTCGGTAGAGATTAAAATTAAAAAATTAATCGTTATTGTTGATTTTTATTAGACTAGTGATACCTAATAACGACTATATTTTCAATTTTAATTGAATTTTAAACTTAACCAAACATGCTCTAAGCAACTTATGAAAATTGTAGCAGTTAGAACGAGGAAGAATATAATAAAACACGGCCGAAGAAAATAAAATAATGATCAATATTTTTATCCTCTTCCTGTTGGCTATATGTGAAGGAATTAATTAATTGGTTCTGCACAGTCTACTTGAGATATTTTAAATAAAATTTAAAAAAATAATAATTTTGGTTTGTCATTATCCTGTTTATTCTTCAATGATTTAAGTTTTTTAAAAATTGAAAATGGGATCTTGCTCAAACCCAAGTCTCAACATGCTCTTACAGCTCATCTGTCGATTCTGTCCCAATTAAAAATTGCTGCAAATCTTTTTAAAAGATATTTGTTTTAAAAATTATAAGAAGTGTAGTTTAATAGAATGTTTGGCTATGCTTCATGTGTAGGTTGAATTATGAGTCAGTTTTAAAATAAAATTATATTTTCGGTCAAAGTTGAAAATAATATTTATGATACATACTTTGAAAGTAAATTATCTCCTATTCTCTTACAATTTTTATTTTTTACATAGAAATAAAAATAATAATATGTCCAAATATGTGTAAACTATAAAAATTTACTTCTAAGTATTTAACCTAATCACACATACTTCAATTAATAATGAGATAAGTACCCTTTTGGAGTTGGCCGAGTTGGTGGAGCAGGTGAACACGGAGACCAAAAGTCACAAGTTCGAATCCCCCCATCAACACTTCATCGATCGAGCTCGTCGCACCGAGCTTGCCTAATACGGTTGACCTCTTCTGTGTGGTTTGCAGGCTACTGCACATGGAGCAGTGTTTACCTAATGCCCATTCACAGTGGTCGGGCCTCCGCCCTTTCGGGGTGGTTGGGGTTCCGATGACGGGTAGTGATTGCGGGTTCCTACGTCAACAAAAAATAGATAAAAAATAATGAGATAAGTATGCCAATATTGTAATTATTAGTCACATGATTAATTGATAAACACCGATGTCTAGATTTATGTGTCCCATAATTTAATTAAATTTGTCGGTAATCTTTTTATGCACGAAATTAGTAATAAAGTTGTGACTCGATCCAAAAACACTAACAATAAGAGGAAAAAAGAGACAGGTAACTACCTATTTTTTTCAATAGGACACAACAAAATTGACATCTATTGCTAGTGAATGTCACGCTGAACTCGTACTAGATTAGACCAAAGAGTTTACGGATCATCTTTAAAAGTTTCAAAAAAAAAAAAAAAA